AGCGAGATTTAAATCCAGATAACCAACCAGAGCTGGCATGAAAGCTTCCTTCTACTTCCTTAAGGTCAGCGTGCAACTTTATTGCCTTTTCCTTAAGCATTTCCCCAGTAACGTGGATAGTTTTTTTTTGCGTTGCCATTTGTATAACGCCTTCTCCATGCGGGGATACTCGCCTTTTCTAAGAGTCTTCCGTTTAGATGCTCCAATCGTCTGGTAGAATATAACATTACGACTATTTTTCTTTATTCCTGAAATTGTTGATTTAGCTACACCAGTCGTTTTTGCCAAGGATGAAACACCAGCTCCTTTTCCGATTTTTTCAACACTTTTAGATTTTTGCTTCAACGAAAGGAATTTCCTCGCAGGCATGATAACAATAAATTTAAATTTATTAGCACACAAAAACTTTTAAAAACACATAAAACAGCGCACATCCACACACAAACGGCTGGAACCCGACAAGAAACAAATAAACATTAGCATGAAATAGCAGCAGCTTTTCCAATAATAAACATAAGGTGGTAAATTTCGGGGAAAACCCATTTTCATTTCCGATTAATTTTGGTGTTTTTTTGTCAATTTAAGCTTGCCGTTGCTTTTAAAATTTTGTTCACTATTTAGAGGCTTTCGATTGTTCACTATGTATAGTGTTCCGTGTAAAAATTTCGGTGTTCACTATATCGAGGTGTTCACTATAGCGGGCGTTCACTATATAGAGACACGACTGTATATCAGAAAAATGTGTTTCAGCATTTTCTCTATAATTTCGAAGAATATTCACAGTGCCATTGACAAAAAGTATGTTCGATTTGACATACACGAATCAGGGATCGAACTCCTCAGTTCCTATGGAATGTACGGCGTATGTAAACACATATCGCACGCCATCTTCAAAAGTGACACAATTAAAAATTACACGTTCGTCAGAAAATACGAAAAAATATTTCTTAGCACATGCTAATTATATGGGCAAGTAAGACTTTTTTTTAGGATTATAACAAACAACAAATTATAACAAAAATTTGATCCAGCTTTTGCTGAAAGGTAAATACAAGCTCTGTGTATATTTTTAGTGCATAATTTCAAAAACGTCAAATTTTGAGTTGTGTCAGTTTTGGAGATGGTGTGCGATATGTATGTAGGTTTTCCCTATTCGTGATTTTATCTTTGTTATTCGCATCGCTTGGAGCTGATAAGATAAAACAATGCCGGCAGTCTACAGCTGCGGTCAACTAATTAACAACGGCATACAAGAAGCCACTACAATTAAGGCAGGTTCAGTTTAATAATATATGTAGCCCAATTGTCTCCGGTATTTATTTAGAAGAAGAATTTATTGAGAGCAATCAGTAAGAATACAACAATGCGTAGATATATGTATTGTATTTGAACTATAACTAAGCCCTACCAAATCAACGTTGTAGCCTTCTCAGAAAATTTTGTAGCGTATTATCGTTGGGCATTACCCATCTAAATCTCTGTCTCCAATAATTTCCACGTCACTCTACACTGTAACATACTAGCACCTTTTTCTTTTAAGCAGTTAAGTGGCCTTATGTTAAAAATTAGACAAATATAGAAACGGAATTACTGAACATAACCAGTAAATAAATGAGGTAAATCCATAATTACTGAATTTTGTAATGTCAGGAAATGGAGCAAATCACTTAATTTAAAAAACAAGTTTTTGTAGAATTACACTATTTTAACCAAATGAAAATTGCTAGAAAAACGTATCGAAATAAAATAAAATATCCCGATTAACTTCTCTTGTAAAATTCGAACTAATTAAAAAGTAATATTTCCTTTCCATAAATCGTAATTTAGGCCGGAATATTGATTTAAAAATACTACTATTTATATAATAAAATTAAAATATGATTTCATTAAATTAAAACCACTTCTAAAACATTGATTATATATAAAACAACAACTGATCGATATTGGTAGCGAAAGTTAAGCGTTATTAGCAAAACGAGTGTATATACTTTTGTACAGATGCGTTGTTAATTAGTTGACCGCAGCTGTACGTATTTACATACATACATGTGTACAGTACGCCCGCGGTAAAAGCAACCTGTAAAAATTCGGTCAGTTGCGTGGATTGGGGTTGGTGCAATAACCGAATCACAAAAAGGTTCAGCCTGAAACTAAAATTTAACCTGAAGTCAAAAGTTAAATACTATTGTTTACGGTAAGACAAAACAAAAGTATTAAATTAATTCACTAAAAAATCATTTATATGCTTACAAAATCGAAATACATAAGTACATTAAGGTAGAGTAATTTAATTTCGAATTCTACGTTCGATTCTAAGCAAAAATGGTGAATAAACTATATGCCAAAAATGACGTTTGATCGTCCCAATTTTGTATCGTAATGTATTGTAATTTTTTTTGAACGAAATTAATTTCTCATTTACAAAACTTTGTGTGTTTCTTCATATTTAAGAAACTACTTCACAAAACCAATTACAATTGTACAATTTTGTGGTTCAATGAAAAATAAATGTCGACCAAGAAAGTTACAATAGTGGTATTCGCGCTTCTGTGTATTCGCTGTATCCTGTGTAAATGTAACTGGACGAGCATGTGGTTGTTGTTGCATGTGTATTTGATGTACCGCTAGCAACAACAAATCACACGGTCATGCAGTTACGATTACACAACATACAACGAATACACATAAGAGCGAATTCCCCTAATAAACTGCTTTCTCTATATACATACATATGTAGTTAAAATTTCGTCGGTGATACTGCAAAACATTCTATGTCTTGACACTTAGATGGTCTCTTACTTGCACCGGAATGCAAGTGCATCTGCAAATCGTTGCACCCTAATAAACGAATGAAAAAAACTGTCTACCTTTGGCTAATGAAGATGAACGATTGCCAGAATCGATCAGGTACAGATAACAGATCAATTAAGCACCAGAGGTAATAAGTGACATAGAATGTTTGGCAGTAACACCGACGACATATTTCTTGGTTAATTTGTTTTTAAATATTGGCAAACTTGCCTTTGCATTTTCTTTGAGGACACATTTTCGTCGACAGCCGACTCTCTAACTTTTGTAGAGTTAAGGTCCTTCTACTGAAACTGAAGCCAATTGAAGACAAAAATTAAAGGAAATAAGAAATTATGGATAGAAAGTTGCGTTTACTGAGGCAAAATTTTTTGAAAAGTTGCAATTACTGAGCTACTAATGCTGAACATTTGGGCGTTGCTTTGACCGAGGAATTGCGTTTATCGAAAGTTGCTTTTATCGAGGGCTTACTGTATGTGTTTGTACTGCACATTAGCGAACAAAAAAAGAGCACTTCATATAGAAAATACGTACCTATTATAAGAATGTTCAATTTTCTTCACTTCGTATTACGAGATCTCTTCGTGTTCTTCTACTATACTCACGAAACCAATATATGTATATGTACATACATATATGTCTTTTCTCTCTGACAGAATCTCTTTAGTCGATGTTCAGACACGAAAGCTTTTGTTGCGGAAACTCGAAGCTTGTTGGGGAGAGAGCGACGAAGAAAGGAGACGGGTACCGAGTCGCCCGTACTCGGGAAACACGCTTTGTGCTCTCGTTCGTCTGAGTAATTCAAGTTGGCGATTCACAGCTGACAACAACAATTGCGTACAAAAGAGTTTCTGTGTGTGAATGCAAAGGGCAACACCAAAAGAGGAATCGCCGATAATAAGAAACTCGAGTTTCCGTGTTTGAACGCAGACTTAAGGAGTTTGAAATATCAGAGTTTTGCTGGTATATATACTGATTTTTTGATTGTAAATGAAAGATACTGTCGCACGCTGTTATCAAACCCTCTCTCTAGATGTTTAACTGCCATCCCTAAATTAGCGCTTCAAGCGTCAAGCGCCAAGCAACTGTCAAAAATTTCCATGACCATACAATTTGTATGAAGCATCCCACAATAACGCGGCGCTAACGTCGAGCAAATGGAATTTTCATTTTTGACAGGGCGTTACGTGTTGAAGTTGGATGTAGAAGACGGAAAGAAAGGGAAAGAACAAAAAGGTTAAAGACGAAACGAGAGGAAATAAGAAAACGTCAAAAATTACGCCGCGTTGATTTGGGGATAGCGCGCGCTGAAACTCGTTGACAATGGAAAACGCAGTGCTTAGCGCTCCAATTTAGGGACGGCAGTCAATTGAAATTGTAAAGTCACAGCGGATAGTTAACTCACATTTTGCTTTACTCAGGACTGTATGTATATGCATTCAGTAGTGATGTGCTGAATTGTCGGTACCCAATACTTAAAAAATATTTCGGCACCCGATACTGATTGTCACAGTGCGTGCGAACAAGTCGTGCGGTTGAATGAAGCTTTCGCTACCTTCTAAAGCAGAGCGTGTATGTATACGCGAATATGCCCACCGAAAAAAAGAAAGAAAAAACTTTCATTACTAATTTATATGATATCGGATAAAAGAGAAATAATATTTTATCAGTTTTAACCTTAGTCGATCCAAGGTTCAAGAAAAATGCTTTGACAGATGAGATAAGCAGTTAGCGACAAGTTTCGGATCGATATCGCACTTGTTGACCTACAATTTTTTTAACATCATACGTCAACAAAACCGATACCGATTCCAAAATTGTCGCTAACTGGTTACAGAATCTGCCCCAGGCCTACAAAAATGATATCGTCCGATTCAGCTAGAAAAAAATGCTTCCAACAAGTAGGAGCTTCTCTGCATTATGGCCTCGAACCGACATACTATATACATCTTTCATTTGAATTCGGGTTTTGTTAGGCGAGTCTCCCTTGAACCGTTTTTTCCATATTTTTGGCCTATGTGCGTTTTTATTCGAAAACTAAACGATTCGGTACCGACTATCGAGAGTGTTGGATACTTTTTAAATCGGCACCGAATATCGATCAATACTTAAAAGTATTCACTCAGTACATCACTAGCATTCATCTGATTACTTTGCTGATTGTGAAATTGTATACAGTCTGAATTGAAACATTAAAGTCTAAGCAACACTGCAATTAAAAACAACGGCAGACGAATTCATTATCGTTTACTGACATTCTGTAAATAAAGACATACATATATAAATAGTATCTACTTATTTACAGATTATTTACTTACATACATATAAACAAGAGAAAATAATATAATGGGTAAGTGAAGTTTACAAATACAATATTTTTCGCAGAATCCTTTATAAACAGATATCCCTAGCCTAGAGTGAGAAATTGATAAGTATATTTTTTGTGAAACCCTATATTTTGATATAAGAAAACATCGTATCCAAAACTACTAAGGTTGTGTTATCTTTACCCGTTTAAATTCAGTGAAAGGCAAATTTGCTAAGTCCGAATGGAGCACAAGAAATTTGATATGGTCAAAATAATCCGACAACTTTTAATTAACATCGAAGCGTTCTTTCTAATTTTGATTAGCTATATAAACGCAAACCGTTGCATTAAAAGTTTTGCAAAATACTTGACAAACTGTGAATTTATTTATATCTACACCGCTGGAAATATATATATGTATGTATGTACATATGTACATACCTCGCTCCATTATATCTGCGTGCACCCTGGGTTTTTGAAATATTAACAAGGCTTTGCAAGCTAAATTTTTTTCGATATTTCTGTAACAAAATATGGTTCATGCTGCAAACGAAACTATATAAAACAAAGTTTGAAACTGTATACAAAAATTAAATTATTAATTATTATTAATTAATTAAAATTTAACGGATTTTCATCAAAATTTTAACCTTTTTACTCAGATTTTTTCTGGATGCAGTTGTATAGCCCATTCAATTTTAATATAACAATGTACAAATTTGAAGTAGCTAAGAAATCGCGCTGATTTTTTATAAATTTTTTGCCGACGGCTATCGACATTTTTCTCCATACAAGGTATGGTCGATTTTTTTATATGGAAGAAAATACTTAGAATGTGTGAATAGTTTTGATTCAGCAAATGATAGATCGACACTTTTAATGGATTTTCTATGTTATTTGATAAAACATAATCAAATAACACAGGTCAACAAAAATGGAAAAAAAGTTTGGTGCGGCAAATGTTAAAGCTATTTTTGATCAACTTTTTTTGTGCTGATTACGAATCCGTAAGTATAAAGTTTCCATCAGCTCCAGATTTTGAGAAGCACGAGGTGAAATTGTCAAAACATCGCGTTTTTTGCGATATTTCAGAAGCTCTAGCAATTAAACAAAAGGCGATAGAATCTTTCACTTAGGCTTAAATTAAGACTTGAACTACCATCCCTAAAAATACCATCCCTGCACCTTGATGCTTAGCTCACTTATAGTGTTTTATTGCACAGCAAAAACTGATTTTGACCAAAATTTTGTTTTTCAAAATCATAATTTTCCAGTTATTGTTCAATAAATGACCATAAGAGACCATCAGGTCAAGATGCAGGGATGGTATCTATTCTCAGGGACAGTAGACGAGGATTCTAGCTTCAATTTAAGCCTTAGTGGAAGATTTTATTCCTCTTTTATTTCTTTGCTGGAGCTTCTCAAATATTGCAAAAACGCATTTTTTTGAAATTTTGACCTCGTTTTTCTCAAAATCTGGACCTGATGGAAACTTTCTACTTACGGATTCGTAATCAGCCAAAAAGAGTCTATCAAAAACAGCTTTAACATTTACCGCTCCAAAATCAGTGTTGCCCTGTGTTATCGATCTCAATATGTAGCATATGCAGGCGCTCATGAGGAGTTTTGGAGTTCAAACGTATGTATGTATGTATTCAACTCAAGATCATTACCGAATCTACCGAAAACAACTTAAATATCTAGTGTGTTTTAACGGCGAAGGGGACACGCAAAAAAATTTACGTAAAAAATGCGCTTAAAAGCACTTCGGCGAAGAAGGACGTGTAAGCATATAGAATGTTCCAGTATTCTTCGAACAAAAATCTGTGGAACTGTCATAACTGGCCAAGGACTGTCACTTCAGCATCATTACCCTTGGGAAATTTGTATGCTGTAAAACCCGCAAACATAACGAGCCCTAACCGCCAAAATAACGTAAGCGACATCTTTTTCAAATTTTTCTTTTTGATGCAGAAATGCATCTAGACGCTCTAGGAATTTTCTGCTTCAAAAATAAAATTTTGAAAAAAATGTCGCTTACGTTATTTTGGCGGTTAGGGCTCGATAAGTTTAGGAGTCTTTCTTCGCCGAAGTTGTTTACGTATCGAATGCATGACTAACTTGTGTACATAATTATACATACATACATACATACGTATCGTCGTTTAAAGTACAAAATCGCTTATCAAAATAATGCAAAATGGTTATATTTTGTATAAAGCAATCGCATTTCTGGCTAGTATATTTCAGGACGAATGGATAAGGATTGAGCCAAGAGCTTTTGTGAGCAAATCCAGTTTTTGGCAGCAAATGTCAGTTACGCGGTTTTGTACTTTAAACGACGATATTTATCGATATGCCGATCCCTTAAACCCAATGGATTGGCAACAGCTATGATTATCACAAAATAATTTTATAACAGGAAGCTACTTAACACATTTATGGTTTATTGATAAGTATAAATTCAATCTTTGTGCAATATATATGTATTTCCAAGTTAATACTTACATATATATGTACATACATATAATCGTTGTCAATGTAAAATATCATAAGTGTTAATTTAAAAAAATGCACTTTTTTAATTCCGTTCAAGACTTCCAATGTCAATTAAAAAACAAAAACATGAAATCTCACACTTGCCGCGTACGCCGATTTGCATTGTTACACCACATACATACAGTCAGCTTCAAAAATATGCATACTCTGACGTTTTGACGATTTTATTTATTTATATTTTCCATGCCACATTTTCCTTATTCTTTATAAACATATAGTTCGTTCAAAGGCAAGAATAGTTTTTTAGTTTCACACAGATCCCCTGAAAATTAAAAAAATTCAAAGAAATTTTCATCGAAATACGATTTCTTGGAGAAATTTTGGGAATGCAGTTTTGTAGTCATAACGCTTGTAGTAAAATTTTTCTAAGAAATCGAATTGAAAAATTTAAAGTTTCTTGGTATTTCTTGCATTTTCCCCGAGCTCTGCAGGAAATTAAAAAAAAATTTATTCTATGGTTTTTTTGTTGAATGAATCAAACTTTTACAAAAAATTAAAAAATTTAAAAATTTGGGATGGAAAATATAATCGCCTTGGTATGCATATTTTTGCCGCTGACTGTATGTAGATATGCATGTTTGCACAAATTTTTAACTTCAAGCATTACCCTTAATTAATTTACTTACATCTAATACAACATCCCTTTAACTTGCAGGTGAACATGAATGGATTTCCACCAACATCGAAACCGATTTGCCGCCATTTGCCGTCCAAGCTGGTCACGATTCGGACGGTGATGCGATCTTTGTCGGTCGCGCCTACCACAAAGGCGATGTAGTAGTTGCTAAAGTTGTGCCCAACAAGCAACAAGCCTACGTCGCCTGGGGTGGTGAGGAGGTGAACAAACATGATATAGAGGTATTAGCGGGACATAACTATCACTGGGTGCCCGATGCAAATGGTTCAGTGCCACCTGGTGCTGTTAGCTGTGGACTTACTAGCCTTGGTGAACCATTGTATGTGGGACGTGGTTATCATGCCAACAGTTTGACACCCGGCAAGATTCATCCATCTCAGGGATGCTTGTATATTGGATTTGGTGGCGAAGAAGTGACTGTCACCAACTATGAAGTGCTGGTGCGGAATTAATTGTCAACCGCGTGGGGAAGGTTTGGTGTCAATGACTACAAATTAGCATCTGACTAAAAAAACTGGGAGTTTGGATATTTAAATGAATGCTATAATATATGTAAAGTTTTATATGTTATTAAAAAAATGTTATAAAAAATTTTATAAATAAATAACAAACGCTGAATTTTAAGTAGTCAACTATGAAAGAAGGAAAATCTATCTATCGAAAAAATGCTTGCTAAAGCACTTTTTTGTACTGCATAGTAAAAAGCCAAATCAAAAAGGCACTACTTAATTATACATGATAATTTATTTCAGCAGCACCTTTCTTCAGAATCTAACATTCTTCATAACAGAGTCGACTTAAGGAGCCTCGAGGCCCCTGCCGGCGGCAATCGTGAGGTCACCCAATTTGTAAACAGGCGGAAGGAAGAAAACATTTATCTGAAACGTTTTTATTTTTAAAACAAGAAAAAACCTTAACAGTATAATCCAATATGTACAATGTATGTGTTAAGTATTTGTATTTTTTCTGTTTATTGGCCTAATAAAAAATAATATTCAAACAATTTTATTGAGCTCGAGGCCGTTTTTAATGAAAAATTATTGTGGGAAAACTATTTGTTAACTATTTTTGTTTGCTTACAATAAACGGCCTCAGATTCAATAGAATTGTTGGATGTAAATACTAAAAATACTCCACTTGAATTTGATTTTCTAAACAGGCACACCCTCTAAAAACTGTGTTATAAAGCTTTTGCAATCTGTTTTGTTTGACATCCGTATTGTAATATTTCTTTGGAGCAACTCGTTAAACTTATTTAGACTTTTAAACATTTTCGAAATAAAGCCTTCCTAAACATTTTTGGATTTGCTCGGTATCATTTTTTAATGTTTCATTTTACCTATTCACTAAATTTGATTTGACTTTTTAACAGATGGCGACCCTATTTGAAAACATTTTCTAAACAAAGCTTTTTTCGATTTACAGCCATATTGCAGTATTTTATTTAACTTATAAAAAAATATTTGATTTTAAAAAAGTTGGCAACCCTCTTCAAAATATTTAAAAAATAAAGGTTTTTTAAACCGAATTTCTTTACCATACCCTTCATTCAGTTAATTAATAAAACTTAATATGACTTTTTAAATAGGTGGCAATCCTGTTAAAAATAGTGTGGTAATAACGCTTTCTTAAATCTCGTTCGTTAGGCATACTGTAAAATTTAGATGCACTTATAGTTTAAAGTAGATTTTTTAAGCAGGTGGCATCCCTTTTCAAAAAATATCCTTATTTTAATCTAGATCCTAAGCTATCTGTATGCCAAATTTTATACAAACAGAGACAAATGAACATACTTACATGCTCACAAACTTAAAAATTTACAATATTAGCAGCTTTTCATTCGTTTGTCAATTTAATTTCTAAACTGGCGGCAACTCTCGACAAAAATATTTTACAACTAGATACGGTTTTCGTATTTTTCTTGCATGGTACCCACAATACTTTATTTAACTTGTTAATTAAATTGATTTTGAAATTCTTAAGAGATGGCAGCTCTCTTTAAAAAAATACTAAAAAAAAGTTTTCTCATATCTTGTTCAACTTGTTATTTAAATTGAGTTTAACTTTTTGAACAGGTGGCAGCCCGCCTACAAAATATTTTCAAAATAAAGTGCTTTTAGCCCCCTTCTTTAAACGGATACCTTATTTAACTAATTAATTATTCGATTTTAACTTTTTGGAACCCCTTACCTTTGATAACTAATCTCTTATAATCTCTTACAATATTTTATTTAAATTATTAATCAATTGATTTTAGGTTTAGATTTTTTTTCATCGCTCCGCTCCGGTATTTTATTTCGCTCCGAGCTCCGCTCCCGGTCCCAATAAAAAACTTTTTTATTTATTTAATTACTTACATATCGAGCCCCAACCGCCAAAAAAGTTTGTAAAAGTTATTTTTCTTAATATGATCGCAATGTATTTTGTCTTGTAAATAAAATGGCAGATATTAAATGGATCGGAAATAAGAAAAAAGTGTACGGCAGAAACAATGTACAGACAAGAACCGAAAATTGTTTTGAAACGGATACGTTTTTGGCGGTTTTTCTGAAATTTTTCGTTTAGTACGCTTTTCTTCTGCACTTCACAGATGCTTTTTCAAGGAAAACAAAATATTAAGGAGGCGTCTGACCAATTTTATAAAAGTAAAAAATTTCTCAAAGTTTGGAAAGGGAAGTGGATCCCTTCAAAGGTAGGCTTCGGTCCGAATGCTATCACAGCGTTAAGAGTAGTAACATATTTTAATAATATTTCCGTACCTAGAAATGTGTGTAAAAAAATTTTCGGTGTAAAAATCCCGAGCACAAAGTAAAAAGTTATGGAAAAGTATTCTACCAATTATGTGATATTACTACTGAATATTTATATATATGTTGCTTTCACAAAAGATCGAAAAATATATGCCTATTAAAGATGCCTTTTTAGAGCTTATAAATCTAGGATCATTGAGCAGCTTTTAAAATCCTCTAGCTTTTATGGAAAAAATTGACCGTATTCAGCCGTTGATTTTTTGTAAATGCTCCGATATTGGTTGTATAAATGCTCATATAATATCTGACGCTTTGCATATGGAGCAGAATATAAAGCTTAAGGATTTCATTACTGAAACGTGGGGAGGTGCGATTTCTCATTCAGCGTTTTACACGAGGCTCTCACGAACAAGAAAATATCCCAGAACCAGAACGAAAAAGCGTAGATATGAATTCCGGCCTCGGAATTTAGAGAGAAAGTATAAAAAACACATGTGCTCCTTGCAAAAAACTATTGTTTTCCGAGGCACTGCCAAAGAATTTGCATGCAATGCGTAGAATAAAAATGTTCAAATTTGGCCACTGAATTTTTTGTTTGTTTTTGCTTTTTCCTAAGTTTTTGTTTTTAATACCTTTTTTTAGTTTTGAAGAATTAAAGGTTATAGAAATAAAACATATATACATAAATTTGTTACCTCTGAACTTTTTAGATACTTTACTTAAATCATCAACAATTTCACGTTATTTGTGGACTTTTGGCAAATTTGCTTTAAGTGTGAATAAATAAGTTTTCTTAAAGCACTGAATTTGTTTTTTATTTAAAATACATGTAATAATTTTTTTTTATAGAAATTTAATAATAAAAACCTGGGTATCGTAAATGCAGTTAATTTAAATTTGGGGTCATAAAAAACCCCACGCGATAAATTATGTTAGCAAAAAGCAGCGCTACGGACGGTGGGGTAAATATTCTTCGGCAATTTTTAATCAAACTATAGTTCATTATTAAACTGAAAGTGTACATATGTATTACAGTTTCAAACTTTGTACAGAATTCAATTTTATACCACATGCATGAAACTTTTTTGTATGGAAAAATTGCGAAAGAGCGTCAGTTAAAAAAATTGTCAAAAACTCTGATTAAAAAATTGGGAATTTTCATGAAAAGTTTTTAAAATTTGAGATTTATTTTTGTGAAATCTGTGCAAAGTTTGAAACTTTAATAGATTTAGAATAAAAAAGATAGTTTTAATAAAAATTACCGAAAAATATTTGTAATGAAAAATATTGTGAATCTTATAAAATAGATAAGTGTGTGAAATTTTTCGACACTGACTGCTACTGCCTGCTAATAAAAAATGGGGCGCATTCAATTTTAAACCCGATATATCATACAATGGTGAGAATAAACAAATGGGCAACAAGTAACCCGTTTCCCAATAACCATTAATATCATCAAATCAGCGTAACAATTCTTCGAATTTGATGTAAAATTTTTTTTATTAATTTATGTGACACAATACATGGCTCGAATTTTACCAAATATCTATGTATTTGAGTTATAAAATGTATGTATGTTCACGATACAGAACAAAAATCTGGAAGACCAAGGTAAAATGTTTATACATTTACATCAATGAAGGTATGTATGTAGTTGTAAGAAAAAAAACATTTGTATAAAACAAGAATGTATTAAAAAGTTGAAAAAGGGCAATTTACGTGTGCACGTAAACATACATATGTGTTTACAAATGTTTTATGAATGTATTCCATTATTCTACGTTGCTCCGGAGTGGCTGAGTTGAAAGCTCATCTCGTTGTCATAAGCCATTATGCGGTACTTTGTCCTTTAAACGCGCACCAAAACTTCGTAGTTTTGCACTCTTACTTCCTGTCCACCAAACGGAATGTACAAGCAGCCATGCGATTGATGAATCTTACCGGGTGTCAGACTGCCACCATAGTGACCACGGCCAATATACAAAGGCTCACCGTCGCTGGTGCGGCCACAGACAACAGCGCCTGGTGGCACACCGCCATTTGCATCGGGTACCCAACCGTAACCGTAACCGGCTAAAAGCTCAAAATCATGCTTTACTACCTCACGACCACCGAATGGTACATAAGCGCAATTCTTATTCGGAATAACCTTGGCGGGCAGCAGATCACCTTCATGGTAGGCGCGTCCCACGTAAATGGCATCACCATCAGCATCATGACCGGCGTGAATAGTGCCAGGCACTAGATTGCTACCCGATGAGTTGACCCAGGTTTCAGGTTGTACGAGCACCTCATAGCTATCGAGCCGCTGTTCATGGCCACCATACGGAATGTAGAGGCAGCCATGCGATGGGTGGATTTTGCCGGGTGTCAAACTGCCTTGCCAATGGCCGCGTCCAATGAAAAGCGGCTCACCATCGCCGGTTTGGCCAACACGCAAAGCATGTGGTGGCACTTCACCACCGCTAGCTGGTATCCAGCTGTAATGATGACCGGTCAACACTTCGATGTCTTGCTTGTTGATCTCCTCACCACCCCACGCGACGTAGGCTTGTTTCTTGTTGGGAACGATTTTTGCAGGTAATATATCACCATTGTGGTAGGCACGGCCAACATAAATTGGATCACCGTCCGAGTCGTGGCCGGCATGAATGGCGAAGGGTGGCAAATCGCTGTAAATGCTTGTGGAAACCCATGTGT